GTCTTTATGATTTAGTCTTTTTTGGTTTGTTTGCACGAGAAGTGCTGAACGGATAAAGGCTGATTTATTATTATTCTACGGGATGTTGCACAGTTCATGTTAGAATAAAACTTCAGACTAAAACATAAAAACACAGAAATATACTTAAAATAGAAAATATCTGAAAATGTCACTGAAAACCTTTTTTAAAGATTTTTTTTGTGACTGTCTTTCTCTGTCTCAGACGATGGTTTTGGCGAGCGGTGGGCAGGACGGCGCCATCTGCCTGTGGGACGTCCTGACAGGGAGTCGGGTCAGTCATGTTTACGGTCACCGTGGCGACGTCACCTCTCTGGTCTGCACCACCACCTGTGTCATCAGCTCAGGACTGGATGACCTCATCTGTATCTGGGACCGCAGCACGGGGATCAAACTCTACTCGATACAGCAGGTTTGTGTTTGTCAGAGGAATAATCAGAGTATAACCATCGATAATAATTTTATATTCACCTAACTTCTCTCTGCTCTCAACAGGAGGTGGGATGCGGCGCCAGTCTGGGAGTGATCTCGGAGTCCCTCCTGGTTACCGGGGGCCAGGGCTGCGTCTCCTTCTGGGACCTGAGCTTCGGGGACCTGCTGCAGACGGTCTACCTGGGCCAGAGCAGCGACGGCCAGGGCGTCCGGCAGCTGCTGGTGCTCGACAACGCCGCCATCGTCTGCGACTTTGGCAGCGAGCTGAGCCTGGTGTACGTGCCCTCGGTTCTGGAGAAACTTGACTGAGGTGGGGCGGACGGGAACAGATGCTGGGGAGCTTGTTGGAAAAAAAAAAAAAAACTTGATCATTCCGACTTTCCCAGCTTTTGGTTTTTTTTTTCACTTTCTTTTGTTGTTTCTGATCCGGATGAGACACTTTTCATTCGACCGGTTTCTATCTGCAATGTTCTTTAACTTTTTTATAGGCGTGGGATGTTTTAAAGCCGGGATGTAACGAGGAGCGGAACACTGTGCAACCTGCTGCATTTAGTCTGAGGAGACACTCGACACAGACGACTTGATATCTCCGTCGGGTGTCGATCAAGAAGAAGCTGGATGTTTGGCACCTAACGAGGATCCGGCAGTCACCGGTTTGTGCTTTTTGTTTGCTCGCGTTCGTTTTGTGGCGCTGCCCTCTATGCTGCTGAAACGGGTGGGGCTTCACAGCGACCCGCCCAGAGAGGAAGATGAAACCCTCTCTCTTTATTTTTTAATATTCCCTGCTGCCTCGTTCGCTCGAGCGCAGCCGGCGTGAGCTCAGCAGGTTTACAGCCTGTCGTGATAATCTGAGCAGTCATATGTAAGTGTGTGTGTGTGTGAGCGTGTGAGTGTGGTGGAGATGAATGAATGAATGAGTCAAGCCTCTTTTTATGGCAAAACACTGCTGAGAACAAAACATGTTGTGAATGAAGCGTGTGTGAGGGAGAAGTGATGATCACTGTACAAAGGAAACCTCCAGAGGGGACTGTTTTTATATGTATAAATCTATTATTTATTAGCGATACTTTTTGGAATAACAGTTTGTTTATTAACAGCTAATCATGGCTCTTAAACAAGAACATAATAATGTGTAGAAATGTAAGGTGGGGATCATATGTTTGGCGGGGGGCTGGGGCGCTGGGTATAAAATGATTATTCGTGTTTTTCTGTCGTGGAGGTGGGGGCGGTCGGGGAAGAGGTGCCCCAGCCTCGGCCTCTGATTCTGGGGGTTCTGACGCTGTACGAGGGGCCCCAGTGTGCTACACCTTCAGGCTACCTCCATTTTCCAAACTTGCTTGAATTGTAATTGACAATATTGACGTTGTCCTGCGCAGGCTGTCATTGGCCGACGTCATGTTTACATTGGCTACCGTATTCTTTTCTTCTTCTTTTTTATAAATAGTGCCCTTAAGAGATTTTTTTGTTGTTGTTCAAAACACGGTTAACTATAAAACTTCAGTTTAAACAGTTTCCATTTCAGCCACAAACTAAAAGATAACTTCCAGCTCTCAGTCCATTTCGTCGTCGTTGTTAAACTTTGCTGGAGTTGTATTGAAACCTGTCGCCTCTTTCTGCAGCCAGCTAAATGAAATGTGAATTATAAATAACACTGTATATAAGCTGCAGATAATTTAATGGCCAAGAACTTTACATTCCAACAAGCTTCACGTTAAACATATAATTCAAGATTAGAGCCCGACGGGGAGAAATCCTTTGGACAGAGAAATGTAATGGCGGCTTGATATTTTATAATCAAACCTTAAATTTGAATATAAATAACAATTAAAAGAAAACACAAATACAAACAAATATACAGAACTTGACGTTTTTAACTTGAATGTTAACAAATTTAGTTTGTAAAATAGAAGTTGTGACAAACATGTCAAAGGCTGATATCGGCCGATATTATCGACCCATCGATAACTTGCTCGGGCTCTAATTAAAGCGATGACGATAAGCAGCATGTTAAAGACCCTGAGCTCCGTCCCGTCACAGAACAACAGAGGTGCACAGATGTCAAGAGCTGGAAAGTGAAGCGATGTAAGCTGCTGATTGTGATCGTTGTAGTTTCGTGTAAATGTGCTCGATGCTACAAATCCTCCAGCTGTAAGACTCCGATATTCTTTGAGTCATTGAACTTCTACTAATTGACAAGTTTCATTGAAAAGTTAAACAGTGTTTCAGTTTAAATAATATTCCTCCCGCTGTCCAGAGATGAAGCCAAAATATCCCAGATACGAACGCCGCCATGTTGCGCTGATGATCTCGTTTACAGAGTTTTATTCAATTTTAAATCGTCAAATAACTTATTAAACCCAAACTTACCAGAGACCTGAACAAACATCAGTGTGGTGAGACCGACCTTAAATGACAGAAACCATGTTTGAGAAACATTTATCTAACTTTGTCTTTTTATTTAGGTCCATGAACCATTTGCTAACGTGGAGGTCGTGTTTATGAACAGTCTGTGTGTATAACTAGTTAAATGCCTTTTTAAAACATGGTCTAATAACATTAAGATAGAAGTAAATCTAGTGTTCAGGTGATTCAAGTAAAGTTTCTCCAAATCTTACAATCCTGGAAATTTACAATCAACCAACACGTTTGTTGTTGTTATTTTAGTCGGTGCCTGAACTTCATCTCTTTACTCCGATAACCTGCAGAGAGAATGTTTTCCTCTTCAAGACGTTTCCCACGAGTAACTCCAACAACATCCAGAATGTATTTCACTTTTCAAATCTTCCATCATCTACCGTCAATGTGCGTTTATCGAATGTAGGTGTGACGAACAAACCCGTTAAATAAAACCAGCGACCGAATCCTTCACAGAATCGAATCTTAACACTAATTCAATGCACTTTTAACGCCAGTAATGCAAACGTCAGCGTACACAGAAACATTTGGAACGGTTACGAGTTGACAACGCGTCCAGGTCACAGGTCTGGTTTCACAGGAGTGTAGTTTTCATTCTGCTCAAAATTTTTCATTTTGTTTGGACAAACCTCTAAAACGTTTGAAGATGCATTTAAACTGTTGACTCCCGACTGAAACCTCATTATCTCAGCTGCACATTGGTGGTAGTTTCAGGTTTTCATCCCTTTTTGTTACTGTACAGCGACTGTAAACCACATTTAAATCCACTAGATCCACATTTTTATTTTGATCGGCATCCAACTGCACAATCATGAATATCCGTCCCCTAAATATGCCTGATTTTGTTCAACAAAACCCATGAATTATGGTGAGAGTGTTAAAGATAAACGCCGGATCTCACGATGATTAATGATAAAAACAAATCCTGGATCTGCCCTAAAGTTAAATGGATTCTTTCTTGACCCATGTTCCATCCAGTCATTCAGTTTTGTGGAAATCCGTTAAGTAGTTTTCATGTAATCACGTTAAAAGAAATAACCCAACCGACAGACGTTCAGCAGAAATCAGACCTGCGATCTCCTTGGTAACCGTGTTAACGATTTAACTGATTTTCTTTCAGACACGGACGATAAAGTTTTAGAAACAGGAAAACGTGTAGGTTTTAGTCAGACAGAAATTTAAACTTCTGTTTTCCAACAAACAAACAAACAAAGCCATTAAAAAACATGTGAATTTGACTTAAAGCTTAAGTGAGGCATTCTGGGAAATTCATTGACTTTCTGGCAGAGTTCAGCGAGATCAAAACTAGAAAACATTCAGCTCAGTTTCTCCAAGAGACAATTATCTGCTCAATCGTTTGTTGAGGTGTTTTCAGAATTGTCAAAGATAAGAATATATTCTTTCCGCAGCCTCAGACAGGAAGTCACAGTGTCATAGAACATGTCGTAAAACTGCCTCTGACCTGGTTTGTTAATCTTCTCATCCAGAAAATCCTCGGCCAGAACGTGAGCTAAAGCAAAACGGCCCACAAGTGTTTATTTTGGGGAGGAAGCTGCTGAAGCTTCCAGTGAATGTTTTCATCGCATACAGGCTTGAGCTGATAACAACCGATATTCGCCTGCACCTCGTCGCATCGTGACTATGCTTCTGTCTGATTCATCGAACTTCGCTGCTGCAGCTGCGTCTGAACATATCAGACGTTTGTAGCCGCAGTCTTGAAAAAACGTTTTCACAAAAACAAATATTTAACATTTGCGATCCAAATCTAATCGACCGTAGAGAAAATCTATTCTATGAATCCACTCGTCTGCTTCCTCCCCTCCAGCGTCCTCTCTTCCTTGGCAGGCTGCAATCTACGCAGGCTGTAGTAGTGGAGGTAACTTATTTACTATTTTGTAACACAGACAAATGCAAGACTTTGTACTAATTTTCAAATAAAGAGGCTTTGATACCACAAAGTTTGTCTACTGGATTTATTTGATATCTTTACAATAATAAATGATTAGTGACACTTTTTTTTGGGATAGGCTAATTTTATTTAAGATATTTACAGTGTTACAGACAAAGACAAAGAAAAATAATCAACTTGTTAGGTCGTGCTGATTTGTTTGCTGCTGTGTTACAGTAACTACTGAGCTACACGCACTGATTGAACTGTGGGGGGGGGGGGTGTCATGTCTTGTAAAAGCTGCTTCAACGCTACGCACACGTTATTCCAGTCAGTAAAACACAGAGCAGGAAGGGGGAAGCTGAACACGTCACAGCCTGGTGATGCCTTGACGAGGCTGACGATGGAGTGCATGCTGGGATTTTGTTTTTAGGGGGGCCGGGGCCCAGATCTGGTGCTGGAAGTGCAGAGCAGGTTCCATCCATCACGGACATAAAAAGAAAAGCAGCAAAGAGCAACAGAAAGAATGAACGGATACAGACGAGTGCATAGTGATCTGGTCCCAGAAGCCACCAGTGATGGAAGGAGAAGCAAAGTGTGTTTCAGGTATCAAACCCCCGACAGTCTGCCACCAGGCACATCTTGGTAATCAACACATCTCCCAGGATTCAGCTTGTTTTTTCTGTTTCTCTTAAAAGCAGGATTGGAAAGGGTGACAGGCCTCTAGTGACGCCTAGTGGTAGAGTGAGAGAAAGGCAGCACTCTGTGGACTCATTGCTTGTTGAGGCTCCAGAGGGGGTCCAGGCTGCAGAGCGGGTCGTCACCTTTATCCCCTCGAGTCCCGTGGAGACCCTGACCTTCCACCGGCTGCAGGAAGCTCTGCTTGGTCACCCGCTGCTTCCCCCGGCCCCCTCCCTCCATGGAGAAGGCCTCTGGTGTCAACGAGGCCAGCAGCTCCAGAGAAGAAGGAGCAGAGGAAGCGGGAGGTGGGACAGCCTCTGGGGCTGGTTGGTGGTCGGCTGCTGGAGGGGAGGCCAAGAGGACATCCATGCCGTTGGGAGGAGGTGGAGAGTGGGCAGGTGAGGAGAGGGGCGGGCTGAAGGAGGAAAGGGGCAGGGTATCTGTCGGCGGACCAGCGTCCTGGAACAGCTGGATGTCACCCAGAGAGTCGAGGTCGGGTAAGATGGTGCCGACCGGCTCCTCAGCCTGCTCCATGGCCGGGTCTGTGGCGCTGGGGGGTCGGATGCTGAGCTTGGCGATGGTGGCTTGGATGGAGCTGATGGGCATGTCTCCGCCCAGGACGATATCCTGCTGCGACTCCTGTCTCGGGTAAGGCTGCAGAGAGACGGTTCAGACAGGACAGAAACGTTCAGATTAAACAGAGGAGACGCTCGGAGAAATGAAATGGCCTCGATCTACTGAAGTGACAGAAGTACCTTGAACTCGTGGAAATCCTTCGGAACAATCAGGTGCACAAAAGTGTAAACAAATAAAACGTTAAAGTTCAGATGAAGACGACTCGACAGTCTGGAGCTGAACTACAGGAACAACTACGGCTCTACTTCAACAGTGGCATTTTCAAAGGTGAGGAGATAAAAGAGTCAGTTCACCCACAGTTCTTCTCATGAAGACTTTAATCTGTTTTGTATTTATGAATATGTTGTTCTGCCTTTTTACACGATGACCTTTTACTACGAATGTTGTTTTTCTTTAAAGATACTTTCAGAAATGCACTAAACTCGAGGGATCGTATGTGAGAATGCAAATGTCCAAACGAGATTAATGGGACACTCCAGCCAGGACCAAGTAAAATCATCACATAGAACTGGTGTATTTTCTACTTATTTTACCTTTCAAGTAAAAATGAAAAACATTTACTGGTCCCAGTTTCTTCAACACCAGTATTTTCTTCTATTTTACTTCACTGTACATGGGACAGATTTCTTTTGAATCTGGAATGTTGGTGGGACAAAAAGAACAAATTGATTACCCCCTCAAGCAGTTTCTAACTCCCACACCACATGAACTATTCGACAAACCTTTGCCGCTGCAGAGTTGGTGTTCTTGCTGCAGGTGGCGGTGGTGATGCCGTGGCGCTGAAGGACGTGCTCAGCGTGCTTCAACACGGCCTCATAGCAGAACTTCAGGTGCAGCTGGAGACGAGACACAGAGGAGGACGTTAATACGAAGCTTCTAATATCTGAGAGTCTTTTCACCCTCAGATGTTAAATTAAATTGAAAAAACTGTTATAAATTAATAGTCATTATCTTACAACATGCATCATATGTGTTCACCAAATTTCTGGGTGTCTGACCTTCTCCTGTAGCATGTTCTTCCTCTGCTGTCTCATCTTCTTCACCAGCAGGGGGAGATCTGGGATCCCGTTTCCCGCCTCAAGCTCCTGCAGAGCGGCGTACAGCAGACAGAAGGCGCCGGTGCGTCCGACACCCGAGCTGAGGCAGGAAACAGACAGGTTAGTGTTAAAAATGTGCAGGAGCCCTGTAGGATTCAAGAAACACTGCTTCTAAATCACAGACCATGATCCCTCACACAGACAGGATGTTATCGGCTGGTGTTAACCTCTATTTAGACTAGATACCTGCAGTGCACCACAACAGGTGTGTGTAAGGGCCTCTGGTGGAGGTAGTGTCCATGAACCTCCTGGATGAATCGGAGCAGGTTGCTCTTACTTTCAGGAAGACCCCTGAGGACAAACGGAGAAATGATGACGACTCGTGTGAAACATTTGTTATGTTAGAGAAAATATTTTATATTACGAGTAAAAAGAACTGGACTTACAGCTCCGGCCAGGAGGTGAACTGGAGATGGACGACAGTGCGCTTCAGGCTTTGGTCGCGGTACTGCAGGCTGATCATTCGCTCCACGTGTGTCGGTGCCGTCTTCTGCGTGGTGAGGCTGAGTGTGATTGGACCCTGAGAGAGCTGCTGGCCGCGCTCTGTTGGGAAGTAGCGCAGAACTTTTCCCTGAGAGAGACAACAAGATAAGAACGTTAAAAACAGACAGTAATGTATCATTTACTTATCGAATAGTTCAATAAGTAAATGATATAAACAGTGGGGGCTGTGTTCCAACATTATAAAATTATAGATATTATCTGAATCTGAAAAAATATTTAGGGAAAAACAAACTGTAAGACTAAAAGTTAACAAAACTAAACTTGGTACCTTATCAAGTTCCTGTTCTGACACCAACATGACTATCAGAGACACCTTCTGCTCGTACACCATCAGCCAGAAGTCTGCCGCTGTGCCGCTGAGAGGAGCTTGTGTGGCAATAAGGCGTGGGCAGTACGGTGACAAGTCCTCCACATAGCTGGCATTGATGTAGTCATCTTTGCCTGACTGCAGCAACACACGGTTGAGATCGTAGGGCATGACGTCCTGGTGACGGTTCTTCATGGTGTAACAGCGGGCAATGGCGATGGACAGCTGACGGGCATCTTTTTCCTGCTGTTCCTGGAGCTCTTTCCAGCGGGCGTCCAGCACTGATAGGCCACCTTCAGTCTCACAGGGGTGCTCCAGGGAATCTACTTGGGCTCTATAACGTTCCAGTTCACTGTGAAGGCGGGCAACACGCTCTGGAGCTTGGTATGGGTCACCCTGGATCAGGAGAACTCCCTGCGCGCTTTTCTTCCGACGCTCCCTGTCCTGTGGGTCAGCTTTAGTCGGTTGCAGGACATTGGTCGGGGCCTTGGTGCCTCCAGGTTGGCTCTCTGGGCTTGAGGAGAGGAGGTCGTCTGTGCTAGAGTTCTGGCGTTGAAAAAGCGACGTGGAGGGAGAGACAGCAGAGGGAGAGGGAAGAGTAGATGCGGCTGTGCCTCCAGGGGTGGGGGCTGGTGTGGGTCTCTGCTGGGGGTTCAGACCCAGAGATGTAGGGCCTGGAGAGGGAGATGGAGAGGGGGAAGGTGAAGGGGAAGGAGGGACGGTGTTGGGTGGTTGGGCAGTTGAGGGACCTCCAGGAGAGGGCTGGATCATGTGCTGAGCAGAGGGAGCATGAGGTCCATGGGGTCCCATGGCAGTGGGTTGCTGTGGGGCACTTGGAGGTACATTAGGTCCTGGAGCTGAAGGGTACATAGCAGAAGGTTGTGGATGAGTCATTGGGAGTGCAACCTGAGGTTGTTGGGGAGCTGCGGGCTGTGGTGCCAGGGGCTGCTGAGGCATCATTGGAGCCACTCCTGGGTAGCACACTCCCCCAGAGTGAGGGGGCTGAGCCTGGGGTTGACTGGGCATCCGAATAGGCTGCTGGGGCATGTTTGGTATAGGAGGCTGTCCGGGGTGGGGGTGATGCTGTTGGGGTAGAGCACTGGGGGGCATTTGTGGCATAGGGCCCCTTGGCAGGTGGACCTGAGGACCAGGGACCATATGAGGTTGTGAGGCAGGGGGCATCTGTGGGTGCATTGTTGGGTGAATAGGCTGGCTGGTGGGGGGCATGTAGTTCTGTGAGACTGGTGGCATAGGCTGACTTGTGGGGGGCATGTGGGGTCTGGGACCTCCTGGAATCTGCATCTGTGGGTGTGGTGAAATCTGCTGGGCATTGGGGGGCATTGACATCTGTTGTTGTTGTGGCAACATGTGTTGGTGAGGGAGTCCAAGGGGCATCTGTTGGTTGGGATGGGACAGGTAGGGCTGTGAGACAGGGGGTGCTGGCTGAGATGTTGCAGGTATTTGGGGGTGTGCAGTTTGAGGTGGCCTCTGTATGGAGCCTGGCATCATCTGAGGGTGCTGCTGGGGCACATATCCCTGCGGAGTCTGATAGCCTTGTGGGATCTGAGGCCGTGGATGAAAGCCATTATGCATCTGTCCTGGGAATGCCTGCTGGTACTGTGGAGGAACACCAGGCTGTTGGGGCATATATCCATGAGGGTAGGCTTGCTGGGTCTGGAGAGGAAGGTGAGGGCCGGGAATAGCCCTCGGTGCCGGCTGATAACCCTGAGGCAGCTGTTGCCCCATGGCTTGGGGGTAGTGTTGTGGATGTTTCTGCTGCTGTGGTTGGGGTCCAGGAGATTGGCTTGGGCCTCGAATCGGCATCCCTGGTTGGGGCATAAAGTG